AGACCACTTCGAAAGCAGAGACCACGTCTTCTATATCTGTATCTCTTCCTATAGCAACTAGCACAGCCCTTGCCATTTAGGTGCTAAAAAGAAACAAACAAAAGGTTTAGAGTAAATGGGGTTTAGAGGGGGTCAGATATTTTCCACGGCTCCACTGTAGACCAGAATGGGTGTTGCCACTTTAGCTGTGGTGTCCTGGCTAAAGGCCAAGTCCTAATTGTTGATGACCCTTCCCTTTCTGCAAGCTACTCTTAAGGACAGCAGGTTCACAAAAAAGTTCATGAAAGGCCTTAAGAAGCCAAGCCAGCTGTGATGGCCCTGGAGGCTCTGTGCCCGCAGCCTTGCAAGAGCAGAATGCCAAGGCTACGCTGTGGGAAATCGACACCCCAATCTGTATGTCTCAGCTCTTAGAGGTGGAGGTTCACTTGGATTCTGTTTCTTATTTGCCAGTGATGTCTTAAGGTACATCCTACTGCCCTGGGTCACCTGTCTCGAGGATTGCCCCCAGCCTTTTTCATCTGTACATGTATGCTTATTATTTTTTTCAAATGTTGAAATTACAGAAAATTATAAAGAAAAAAATAAAAATTAGTTTTCCTGCAACCCAGAGATAACAAGTTTTAACATTTTGGTGTATACTTGTCTTATGTGTTTGTGTGTGTGTGTGTGTATACGTGTATAAATTTCACGCTACTTAAACTGTGTTTTTTTCTGTCAACAATATATCATATCTTTACATATCAATATGCTTTCACCAAAACATTTTGACATTTGTCTGATATTTCCTTGTGTACCATAATTTATATAAATAATCCATTTTGTTGGCTATTTACATTATTTCCAGGTTTTGATTATTATCAGCAATGCTTCTATAATGGACAAATTTTGGAGCATATCTTCAATTGTGGCTTAGGGTATAACATACAAGCGGATTTTCTGGGCTAAAGGATATACATTTAAGACGTATGCTACATACTTGTGATATTGACCTCTAGACATGTGATACCAATTTATTGTAACTTTGTCTAAATTACTTTCCACATCACAACATTTTTTTCTTATTCTTATTCATTGATAATTTTGTTAATCTGTCTCAAAGATTTGTAATGTTTTCTGTAGATGTTTTTTCATATATTAAGTGCAAAAAGCAGAGAACAGAAAATGAAATATCAGACAAGTGCCTTGTTTGTTTGTTTTGTTTGCTTGTTTGTTGGTTTAGTATGGTTTTTTGTTGTTGTTGTTCTGGTCTAAGTGTGCCTGGCAATGTCAAACTAAACTGAGGAAGCTTGACTCCTGAGGAAGACCCCTTTTGCTTCCCTGGACAAAGCACTGGCGCGCCCACAGAGCCTGGTCGTCGTTACTTCTAGTTTGGAAGCACAGTGACAACTGATGACATTTCTCAGTGTCATCAAACTTTTTCATCATCTGTCAAAGTTTCATTTCACATACTTCCCTAAGATCTGGGCCTACATTATTGGTATTTGTGATGTTTCCTGTATTTATCTTTATCTGCTTCTCTGCACACTGTGGTCCAAAGGTGAACTATTAAAAAAGAGCCATATATTAAACTTGTGAAAATTGGAGGCAAAGAGACCAGGGTTCTAATACTGCTTCTGCTCACCACAGCTGTGCAAGTTCCTTAGCCCATGTGGGGCCCCATTTCCTCGTTGCGAATGGATCTGTATGTCAGTTCAGGAGCCGTGGTGGTGGTTGTGAGAGGGGAGGAGTGCATAGGGCGCCTTTATTCAATACTTAACTTGTGCCCGATACTGTGGACATATTACCTCGCTGGTTAGGTATCACTTTTCTGCATTTTAAAGATGAGGAAGTTGAGGTTCAGAAATCTGAATTAAATTGCCCAGGTCATACGGAGAGTAAATTACAGCTATAACATGTAATCTAGGTTAGCATGACTCCAAAGCCTATTCTAGATATGAGTAACAATAGGAGTATTTTCATTTATTCGTTTATTAAGTATTTATTTAAGACTTACTATGTACCAGACACTGTGCTCAGGTCTGGGAATTCAGTGGTGAATAAATGAGATATGGTTCCCGTCTCATGAAGAGTGCAGTCAAGTTGGGGAAGAGATACGTGAAAAGATGAAATTACAAATATATGATTACCACTTGTGATCAGTACAATGAAATAAAAGAAGAGGGTGTTTGAGAGAATACCAGGGGAGACCTAATTTGAATTGAATGGCCAGGGAAGACATTTTCTTAGGTTGAGATCTAGAAGATACCTGGGAATTAATCAGGCAAGGATGGGAAGAGTGTTTCAACCTTTCCAGGTGGATGGAGCAGCAGAGGGGAGAGAGCTGGTCCAGCTGGCCCCCAACAAGGCTTGTTGGGGAATGAAGATGCCCTGATGATACCCACAGCCAGCTTTCTAGAGAAGGGCTTTGGCCATGTCCAAGTATGTGATATTTCCTTAACATGTTATGTACTGGGGAAAGTCCTACCAGACGTGGAAGTGGCCTCTCCCTTCCCTTGGAAATCCTGGCATGCCATCCAGTTTTGCAATTTCCCAACATACTGCCAGTCAGCTCTGCTGACCTATTGGCCCCTCAGAGCATGAAGTTCATATTATCGTCCCTTGGTTGTTTCTCCATGCTCTTAAGATCCATGGGGCAGAAAGCTGCAGCAGAGCATTCCTTGGGCCCTCTCGTCCACCAGTTTTCTTCATTTTATACCTGGAAATTACGTGCTAAAGATTCAGATGTTCCAGAGAGAAGTTGCTCAGCCCTTTGACTATATACTCATAGGCTCAGGAAATCTAGCAATATTTATTAAATGGGGTCAATATTCTGGATTACAGTGGAAAAGATTAAACGGAAGATGAGATTAAAATACATAGTTCTTTCAGATAGTGCAAAAATAAACTAAGCAACATTTCTGGATTACAGAGAGAAGAATAAAACTGAGTCGCTCATCCTGGATAAGGGGGGAAGCAATAACCTGACTAACAATTCTGGATAAGAGTAGATCTTTCTGGATGATGGGGGAAGGATGACACTGAGCTGCTTTTCTGAATAACAGTGGGAGGAAGCCCAGAAAAGCAAGTAAAGGAGCAGCATCTTCAGCCCACAAGAACTAGCCAACAGGAGGGAGTGTGAGCAACGGTCACTTCCTACTGTGGACATCAAGCACAAACAGAGGAAGCCGTGCCTGGGGACACAGGTGCCCTGGGGTTTGTTTATTTCCAAGGCCTTCCATTGCTGCTCCATATGGCCTGGGGCCAGTAGGCCTCACGTAGTCTCAGCCACCATGTTCTTAAAAGCACATGTGTGACCCTCCGAAGGCATTCCACAGCGACAGAGATACAAAGCTAGCCTCGTCTTTGAACTGCCCACCTGGAATGACCTAGGAATAAAATTTGGGGATGCCGAGAATGGGACAATTTAGTCATTGAGGCTTGTGAGGTGTTACACTCAGAAGGGAAATTAGTCACATCCAGTCTCAATCCTTCATTTTACAGTTGAGCAAACTGGGGCCTTGTTTGCTCAAGGCAGATGGGAAATTATTTGTCCAAGGCCTCACAGGCAGATGACGGCAGAGCTAGGCCTCGAGGGTACTGTGCTGAGTGGAGTAAGAGAAAGACAAACACCATAAGATTTCACTTATGTGTGGAATCTAAAGAACAAAATCAACAACAACAACAAAAATAAAAACAGAAATAAACTCAGATACAGAGAACATTCTGATGGTTGCCAGACGGGAGGGGGCTGGAAAGATGGGAGAAAAGGGAAAGGGATTAAGAAGTACAAACTGGTAGTTACAAAATAGTCATGGGGATGTAGGGTATAGCACAAGGAATATAGTCAATGATATTATAATAACTATGTATGCTGTCAGATGGGTACTAGATTTATCAGGGTGATCACTTCATAAGTTATATAAATGTCTAATCACTATGTTATACACCTGAACCTAATATAATATTTTATGTAATCTGCAATTGAAAAATTAAAAATTATTTCAAAAAGACAAAGAAAATGAATTCTGTGAATTAGGCACAGTGCCAGGTGTTTTTAACGTGTTTTTAACTCATTTAATTCTCCTAACCCCATGAAGGAGATATTAGTTCCATTTTACAGCTGTTGAACTGAGACTCAAAGAGATTCAGCATCTTGTCTCAGGCCACAGATGTGGCCTCGCCAGTACTGGAACCTCGCTCTGCTTGAAAACAGAGCCTGAGCTTTTTCTATTCCAGCTGACTGGACACGTCAATTGATTCTCAAGATCATTGCTGATGTGATAAAACCTGGGACAAAACTAGGCAAGATTAGTGACATCTACCCTTTCCTGTGGTGTCGGCAAAGGAGGAGCAGTCAGTTCTTTCCTCAGGCGTGAAGGTGGGGTGATTAACAGTATTGACTCTCTAGTCTCAAATCATAATTCATGTTGTGGAGAAATTATCATGTGGATAAATTAAGGGTCTCTGATTTCATGTTATGTAGGGTTACTCCAATGGCTGTTTTCCTTTGGCTGATGTGCTCTTTCTGTTCTTATGGGTAATACTTATGCCCTAATTTAATCACTTAGATTTGGTGTTCACACAGATTAGTTTAAAAAGTCTGCATATAATTTGTTTCTGACACACCTTTGGCCAATAACCACAAAATCCCTCTCATGACTGAAGTCCTTCTATGACAAGTTCTTTAAAAAATTAGATCCCCTTCAGATGAATTATTAATAAAAAATAAAGTGATAGCCAGTAGTATGGGCATGCTTGGGCTTTTGGCCAACAAATAAACCATCTGTGAGAAAGAAAACATGCTGACAACTTTGGACTCCGGTCTCTGTGGCTGCACTGAGTGTTGACCTCACTGGTAATTACCCAAATTAATTGCCTTCTGGGTTGCATTCTCTCATCGTGAAAACTTCTTTTCCCAAGTCAAACCACGTGGGTTAAAAATGAGAAAACAAAAGCAAAAACTGCTGTCCACACCCAGAAGCCCCTTCTGTCAGGGATTGCAAGTGGACCCTGGAGAGCCATTAGAGGGCTTTGGAGGGCTGGGCATCATCGCATACCATACATAGGTGGAGGGCTTGTTATTCTGTTTCCCGCCTACGAGAGGATACCCCTATTGTTTCTGAAAATGCTGACCAGGACCCACACTTCCAACAACAAAAATTCCTCTACCCCTTCAACGGCAGCAAATGCGGCAGAAGCACCAGCCACAGATAAGTGTTTTTGATGAATTGCAAGATGGAGAGGGTTTGCAGTGCTCCCAGCCGTGCTGATACCGAATGCCTTTAAGATACAGCCTTTCCCATCCTAATCTACAAAGGAAACAGGAAAAAGGAACTTAAAACTCCCTGTGCTCAGACAGAAATGAGACTGTTACCGCCTGCTTCTGTGCTGTTCCTTCTTGCCTCTGCCTTGTAAACAAGACCTAGTAGAACGTGAGAATGGAAAGTCAGAAACCTGGGGGTGCTTGAAAGAATCCCTGGGACCTCACGCACATCTGCGGAACCTGAATGGAGAGACTGGGGGAAGTATGGACTGTTTAGCCGGCTTCATTCTCTGCGGAGTCAGCTTGCTCCTTTCTGGTAAGATTTGACTTTAGTGTTTTGATTTAGTATATATATATTTTTAAACAGAGTTAGCGATTCTGGGCTCTCTCACTATTTCTTTGCGCTGGTTAACAAGAAGCAGCTGTGGCTTAGGCACTGTTTATTTAATACATAATGCTCCATTTAATCGATGTAAGGACTGACATGCAAAGTCTTCGTGGCATGGACTAATTTTTCTAGAGTTTCTCTTCTGTGGAATTGCTACCTGTGTTGCCATAGACGCTATAAGATCTGATAAGTTCACTTTATTTGAAGTGATTCACTTACTATGGTGCATAATTTTACTGCTCCTCATTTAGGATTATTTCCTTATTTTAAAAAAGCACAAGAAACCTGGTTTTACCTGCTTCAAAGAAAATCTGAAGTAATTTTTTTAAATACCGAAATTGATGCTGAGAATTCTGGGGGCCCATTTAAGGCAGTGTACAGATTGTCATTTTTAAATGAGAACAAAAATGCTTTTCTATAGATTTCGTGCCTGTGTACTATTTTAATCAAAACAGTAAAATTTGTCAGAATAGGTTTATTTATTTTTTTTACAGCTGGAGTCAGGGTGGGGGGTCAAGCTATAGAATTATTTTTATTTAAAATATTTGGCATATAGTAATTCATAAAGTCTTTTTGGCCCAATGAAATGAAAGTTTTGGCAATTACCCAGATCACTGGGCACAGGCGAGCATGGAGACCTGTTGTGGAGCTAAGGAATGGTTTGGCTTGAATGTGTGTAGATTTCGTGTCTGCTGCTCAGATTCCCTAAATAGTGGCATGCCGCTAAAGTTCACTCACTCTGTGGGACACTGGCTGAAAGGGGTGTCAAAGCCTGAAGTGCAAATCACAACTGTAATCACCATCAATCTCTCCCCTTCAGTTTGAAAGCGCTCTAGTGATTGTAATGGAAATAGAATTGATATTGGAAATGGGGAAAATTTATTGAACTTCATGGTGCAGGCTATATTACATTAATAGAATTCGATAAAAATATACACAAGTATCTGTTGTTTTTCTACACGTTTGAAATCTTAAAGAGTCAGAAATGAATTCAATAAAAGAACAGAATGGTATGTAATTTGTTTATAGCTCTCCAGTTTGCTTTCAACAACCAGTTATATTGAGGTTTTACTAATATTTTTAAGACTAAGAATATGGAATAAAAATTGCTGAAAATGAAAGATTATCTGAAATGGTTTCAATATTTATGCAGGAAATGTTTATATCAATATAGAAATATTGATCCCCCCAATAATATGCACCTTTAAACAAAATAATCATGATTTCATTTGAGTTTCCTTTTTTTTCTATGTAACATATTTATCAGTGCCATGAAATCTGGAATTGATTCTACACCAGGGATTATAGTAATCAAAGCCCAGGGCTTTCTATTTGCTCTGAGATACTTTTTAGGTTAAATAATACATACACAACTGTTTTAATTCATTCTCTCCCACCCCCCATTGATTGTCATGGCACTTGGCAATATAGACTTAGAAAAGCTGTCATAAAATCAAACAAAAAAGTTATGCAGCCAAAAGAGTTGCTCCATGTTTAGAACTTAGTTCCCTGAAAACACAACACTTGTTTCATCAGGGAGAGAGACCCAAGGAGAGGGGTTTCATGTTCCTGTTACAAAGGGAGGGTGACACTAGCAAGGTTGGTTTCTGGGAAAGGTTTGCTGTGTTGAATCCTAACTTACGTTCCCAGTCTGAGCCTCCATGAACACGAATACCCAAGGCTTGTTAACTGCGATAGCAAGAATCCAGCATGATTGTGTCTCCAGGCATAGAAGCCCATTCTTCAAACCATTGCTATCTGGTAGACGATAGTAATGGAGCAAGGAACTTAGGGATTATGGGTTTCTCTCTCAAGTCCAGTTGGTTGTTTCCCATTCCTTTTCATGTGAACAAATAGAACTGAAAAATATGTCACATTTGCCTCAGTGAAGGTGGCTCTGGGTGACAGACGTCAACCCAAAGAGGGTTGGAGGAGGTATATGATTTTCAGAAGACTTCCCTCAGACCTATCTAGATTCTGGTACATTCGCTTCCCAGTTGAGAATCATGGCCAATTTCAGGTTACAAACAAGTTGTAAGAAACATAAGAGCTTTGCCCTACTTCCCCATCCTCACCAAACCAGGCTGTTCTTTTTTCAAGAGTTGTGTACACAGAAAAACAAAGTGAATCACTCTGCTTTATCATAGTGCATCCTCTGTGATCAACACTGACCCAATGGGAAGCCTAGTCACATGCCTTCATTCCTCTTCCCTGTCTCATTTGACATTTTAAATAACACCCTGGATTCAGAGATACTGGATATCTTGTCTGGAGTGGCAGAGGAAATTCGGTTTAGGCATACCTCAGAGACATGGTGGGTTCAATTCCAGACCGCCACAATAAAGCGAGTCATAATTCTTTTGCTGGTGGAGGATTTTGCTTTCAATATTTAAAAATGCAGTATCTGTGAAGCACAACAAAGCAAAGTGCTATAAAATGAGGTATGCCTGTATTAGGTCAGGGAAGTGATTCCAGATGGAACCTCCTCATTAGGGCTGGTTTTGGAAGCATAGTATCAAGTGTGACTAATCAAGGGTGGAGGTCTAGAAGCTGAGATCCGAGACACACCTGGGAATTATTGTTAGAGGGAGGAGCTTTGCTTTCCTCACAGATGCTCCCTCCTAGGCATTGTCTTTGTTGGGAGATTTCTGCATTGCCTTTACTGCCCTACCCTGGAGAGCTTCCTGTAAGAGCTTAGTTCTTTTAAGACATCCATCCAGGAGGAAAGGACTCTTCCAAGTCCACCTCAGAAGACTATGGTATGTCCACTAGGGCATGAAGATAGGAGGGCTCCGATTTGGTCTCACATTACCAATTCATCTCCTGGCGCCCTACCCTTGAAAAGGTGTGTGTGTGTGTGTGTGTGTGTGTGTGTGTGTGTGTGTGTGTGTGTGTGTGTGTGTGTGTGTGTGTGTGTGTGTGTGTGTGTGTGTGTGTGTGTGTCCGTGTGTGTCCTGCTTATTCCCTGTTGATGGCTTATTGGTTAGAACACAGAATCAGGGTTCAAATAGATTTCTCTAGGCTGGAAGGGTGGATTCAACCCAAAAGATACCATTTCAAAATAGATAAATCCCAAGTTATACAACTGGATTAAAAAAATCAGTTGTGTATGTTCAATGTGAGAGAGACCTGGTTTGGTAAAAGTTCTAGTGTCACCACGTATCACCAAGTTTTGGTGACATGCAAAATTCATAGGAGTCAACACATGCTCTGCCTGCTGAAAAGGTAATGCATAAGCTGTAACAGTTTGCATTAGTAGAAACACAAGGCCCAAATTAGAAATATCAATAGCAATTGCTTTACTCTTCTGCTCAGAGCATTTCCATTGAACACTGAAAACACTGAGAAATTTGACAGCAAACATGGTAGGGAAGCAAGAAGGTAAGTGCTTTAGAAACCATACCACATGGGAATGTTTAGCCAGGAGAAAAGAGATTAATAGCAGTGTTTTTAAGGGTTTCCAATATAGAAGACATCATAGAGGGACATTGTATTTCACCAGATCTAGGATCCAGGGGTGGAGGGCGTTGCACAAAGATAGAGCTTGGCTTACTTATGAAAACCTTCTAAAAATTCGATCGGCTTCTCCATGAGGAGTGGGCTCCCACACTGGAGAGTGTTCAGGCATAAGCTGGGTGATCATTTATTAGGAATGTGAAAGGAGGATGTAGAGTGTGGTCCTTATTACCCTGCCTTTCACATCCTTTTCATTTCACTGTCTGTAGCTCCTCACTTATCACTTAGGTGGATAAGCGTTCAGAAAAGCCACCAATATCTGTGTCCAAAGAAACGAAACTGGGTGAGTTTCCATAATGTGCACCCACATGTAGTCACTTTGCTCTGAATTTGAACTTAACATGGTTTGTGAGATTTAAAAAAAAAGCAAGCCGGGCTGGCCAAGTGGTGCGTTGGTTAAGAGTTGGCTTGGGGCGCCAGCTTTGAGCATCAGGGCCTTGGTTCAGATCCCACATGAAGGCCAGTGATGCTGCGCCCTCTACAGCTAAGATGCTGAACAACAGCTCGACCTGGAGCTTGGCTGCCGTGAGTCGCTGGTGACGGCACAGGCAGCAGTGAAGCTGCAGTGGACTGCCATGAGCTACCGTGAGTGGCTGGCAGCCAGCGTGAGCTGCCAAGAGCTGCCATGAGTGGCTGTCCAGAGGCCAGCGACAGATCTTCCTCACCCCGGAAGAGTGCAATGATAATACCAACATGGGCCAGTGAAGCGACATCCTCCACAACTAGACTGAAGAACAGAAGGGCAGCAACTTGTCTGTTCCCCTTCCCCGATTCCCCAACGCGATTCCCCTTCTCCAGTTCCCCAATAAAATCTTTAAAAAAAAAAACCCAAAAAATATACATGCACATGTGCTGTGATGACTTCCTTTTGAAGCCACTGCTCAATGGCACTGAGGGGGAGCTGACCAGGAATGTAGAAGAAGGAGTAAGAGAATGGATTGTGAAGTCCCAGACCTGGGTTAAGCTCAAATTCGATGACCGTGGACAAATGATTTGATTTATCTAAGCCACAGTTTTCTCATATTTTATGGATGACCATATCTCTTTCCCAGAGCTGTGATAGGCATCAAGTGTGATAATGCATGTAAAGTATTTAGCCAGTAAGAACTCTTTTAATGAATGAAGCTAGCATAATCAAAAGAAAAGTGTTGCTATGATCCTAGTGCTAGTTCAACACTGATTGAATCTTTTCCAGGGTGTGGGGGGCCACTGCTACTCATATTAGTAGAAGCAGTCTCTTTCTAAAAGGACCTCAACATAATCCACTTCCTCACATTTTGTGCTGGTCACTCCCAAGTTGACAAGCCAGAACACTTGGCCCACTGTCCAGTGCTTTTCCTCACCTATCCATTCATCCCTGCTCATGGCCCTTCTACTGCAGCCAGGCCCATCTCCACAATCATGCATTCTTC